CGAGTCAATTTGAAAGTGTGGTTCCAACGTTAACCACATAAGAGGCTCGCGTCTCCGGGAGGCCAGACGCCCTCCAGCTTGCAAGTCACCTGTGCTCAAGCCCAGGTTTCGCTTCAACAGCGCATTAACATCGTTCCTGACCACCTGAGGAAACCTCACAATTACTCAACCGCCCGAACTCATCGCAGCAAATCGCACTTTAGTCCTAGCCCCCGAGACCCGCGAGTTCATGAATCTCATCAAATCATAACCGGCGAAGTCCCCAACTTCCACCACCTCTCCCTCATCTATGCCGAGAATCCGCTTAACGTGACTGATGAATTTCAGAATGCAAGGAGATGAATTGATCTAGTCACTACTTCACCATCCCCACCGACGTTTGTTGTTGCCCTGCATTATTCCACAACTGCTCGATGGCACCCCGAGAAGGTTTCGGCTTGGAAGGTGATATGAGATCCTAAAAATTTTTCCCTAACAATCCAATTTGAGGCGCATTTTATCAAACGAATAACAAGTAACAGCCAAAGTTACTTAGCAATATATACTCACATTCATGAGGCGCGCTGACTCTGTCACATGCTATATACACTTGATTGCAAGTTTTCGAAACGCGGGAATCAAGTGCTCAATAACTGAACTATTCCCTCGCAATCTTTTCCGTTGACGCTCGCAACGATGGCATACATAACGCTGTGATGAAGTAAAATCCACAGCCTCATCGGCACACCCTGCAATATGGATTCTCATACCACACGAGTCACAATCGGCCATCGCCCCAAAGTCCCTCCCGCGATTGCAAATATGACAGCAGATTGGTTTAGGCATAGGAACCAAGTAACGAAACTGATCATGAAAAAAATTCCCATTGGAAGACAAGCAAACGTCGACGCACGGCGAGTAATGTAAAACAATATGAGTGACGACTTCGCTACGCCGTCAAACGATCAAAACGCCACGTTACTTATCGCGATTGCTGTTATGTATGAAAAGGGCAACGGACAAAAGAGCACTCGAAATACATAACCGCATGCAAACTTTATACAAAACAGCATCTGCGATTTCATAATAACACATTTTTTGTGAATAAGAGCGCAGCCGCTCTTTTGACAGTGCGATTTATTTTTGTGCTGTAATGGTTACCTGCGACTTTTAGTTGTAGAAAACCGCACTTCTGCTGTTCTGTACGCCAAACTACTATTACAGCACATCGCACTTTTTTCTGCTCTTTCTCGTGTGCTGTTTTCCATGGTAGCCCAACAAAGAGGGGGCACAAAGCGAAGCATGGAGAAGTTCGCCACGGACTCAACCGCATACCGTACGATACTAGTAACTCAATAAGCATAGGTCGGGAGAGTCGGGAAGGACTGAATATGCGACTTATCATTTCTTCAAGAGTCTTCAGATGACTTCTGTTGAAGAGTTTCAAAAGCCAGTTCATTCACATCCATCAAATACGAGACGAATATAAGACTTCATGCTGTCGAGAAGAAAAATGAATATGGACGGAAGAAAATCGTCCTGTTTCGAATAAGATGGGTTCCATCCAGTGCACATCCACAATGGAGGAGATCCACTCAGACCTTAGGTGTACCACCAAGCAGGTCATCATCTATTTCACAGTTTCCGAGGGCTATCTTGAAAAGGCCGTTGTCACCCCAGTCTTCATTCCAGGAGTTCACGACAAGCCAGTAAGCTTGTCCAGTCTCTTCACCCCAACCAATTATCTTCACAGCATGTCCACCGAGTTCTTTTCCAGAAGTATGCTTGTATACACCGGACCTGTAGGCTAGGAAATCTTCGTAAACAATGAAAGAAGCCGAAACCTGATCAAAGTTAACGCTGGGATCACAGAAGTAGATCGGTCCCACCGGGCCATCGGTCCTGATAGCATTCTTGGCATCGTTTACAGAGTATTCATACGGAACGGATTCCACCAGGAAATGACGATCACTGAGAATGATAAACTCGATTAATTTGGCCTAGCTTAGCCTTCCATTA